AGACCTAGGACACACCTACTCATACAAACTAATGTGATTATATGGTAGCCAAAATGCTACCACAATGTTAACAATAAAAGATTACTTTTCAGTATAAATTTGGAAAATATTATTCACTATAGATAAGGGATTGGCAAGCTTTTTCCATAAAGGCCCAGTAGTAAATACTGCAGGCTTGGCAGGTCATGAAGTCTATGTGGCACCAGCTCAACTCTGCCCATGTGGCATGAAGGCAACCATAGACCACATGCAGCTGTGTGCCAACAAAACCTTATTTATTGACACTGAAAATTGAATTTCACAATTTTCATGTGTCATGAAGCATTCTTTTTTTAATGCCTTTCGACCATTTAAAAATGTGAAAATATTTCTTGGCTCATAGGCTGTACAAAAACAGGCACTGGGCCAGATTTGGCCAGCAGGTCATAGTTTGTTCACCCCTGCTATAGTTGCTAAAATAATTTATGTATTTTTCTTGATTGTAACAATTACTAGGCAAAAAAAGAGAAAGTTTTCTAAAACCAGCCCAATGATTCTTTATTAAGGCATACATTTCATATTGTCCTATCTGATAGTTTTTCAGATATCTTTCTATAATTCTCTAGATTTGAGAGAGAAAATAAATTTGGGTTCTTTTGTCAATGTGCCGTAATGCATAGTGCTCTTCTATTACTACCACCATGTGATTTCAGTCCTTTTTAATCTTTTAATCTGAAGAACTTTCTTATGTATAAAAACTATTAATTACAAATGCCTTAGTCATGCAACTATTGTGCCATGTTTAGGCATGTGCAACGATTAGGCAATTAAATTCTATCTTTTCTAAAATTAGAAAGGTGCAAAGTTAAGTCTGCTTTGTCACGGTATAAATTCACTGAGACATTTGTTTCTATTTTCAGGGTAGTTACGGCATTCATACTAATAATGTGAGTAGTATGGATAAACTGGCATATATATTGTATGATATTGAATTCCCATGTCCATCAGAATTCTATTGTTTTACTACTTATACCATTGTGTTATGGGTTGAGATCAAGAGAATTGTAAATGAGTTTTTCAGTCATTTCTCTTTATAACATATGTATTTGTCAGATAATGTGGTACCTTATGTAACAATTGTAGGAATTGTTACATAAGTGTTTTAGCTGCTGTTTAGACACTAAAAAATTAAAATAAGAAAAATAAATATCTGTGATATGCACAGAAAAATCTCATTTACTTCTAGAATTTGAGGCAGGAAATTTTACTCTGAACAGCAAAATATAAATGGGACCTAACTCCCGAATTTGATTAGTGTTGCTCTTGGCTGTTGCCATGTTAGGTTTATCTTTTACCATTGCACATGCTGTGAGCAGGCCAGAAGAAACTTCCATGTTCAGAGAGGAGAGAAGCAACGTTGTCCCATTTAGTGAATGGTTAACCACAGTGAAATGGTTCTTTCAGACTTAGAGATGTTTCAGAGCTCCGGTATGCGTGGTTCATTGTGAATCACCACCAGCTATTAATACAGTGTGAGAGCCAGAGCTTAGCACAGTTATCCGGCCAGAGAGCACTTTGCTCCCTGACTACTGTCTCCGTATGGTGAGAAGCTGCTCCTGTTAAAGCTGTCAGTCATTTTGGAGAGTTAAAAGAGAAAAGTCACAAGACCCTCACATTATTTAATTATACCCTGACTCATTTCAAAATTATTTGACAAGCTTGCGGGGATACGTAGAGATGAAAACCAAGAAAAATTAAATTAGATGAGGAAAGGGATCAAAGGAAAGTAATACGAAGCTGAGAGTAATATTAGTAAACCAAGGATGCATTATGAGTTACGTAAAGGTGCTCGAGCTGGTCCATAAATTTGACTGTAAAGTTTTCCTAGTTGTCTAAAAATGAGAGAAATCTGATGTGTAGTGTCCTTGAGAGTAGAACAAACCACTGCCTACAGAGAAACAGACATTAAAACAAACAAATAGGCACCATGTGCCCACTGGGTCCTCCTCGAAAGTTGAAGTCTGATCATAGCAGGAGACTGCGTTCCAGGCACACTTATCCCCAGTGAATTTCGCACTTTAATCTCAGAAATGAGGCTGATGAATGAAATCAAAGTTCTAGGTATCATTTCGTTACCTCTCTTTTATCTCAATATGTTTGTAATTTTTATCAAGTGAATATATGCACATGCATGAAAATCAGATGTAGGGATGGCCTTATAACACAACAGTGGCTTGGTAGGTGAGGGCATTAGCCCTGTCCTTTCCTCCTCTCTTCCAGCTTCACTTCCACCTTCCAGTTCTTAACATTCGCATTTTTACTTTTATATTGTCCAAACTGAGTAACATACATATTATGTTACATACTCATAATTAAAATCCCCTGTCCATTCCCAATAGTGTGATCCTAAGGTCGAAAATCAAATAAGTGTTTACGTCATCATGACTACAGTGGGATGTGCAAAGAAAACGAAATTTCTTATTCTTCGTGACTGATGTGATCTTAATGATGAGCCGTGACCCTCCCGTGTGATTGGGAGAACACTCCCTTGATGACTAATCATATGGCATTGTGTCCTGGGTCCCCAAGGCTGCTCCCCACCTCCAGACTCTGTGATCCAGAAGGACTTTCAGGACTTGGTGTGCAGTCACACACAGCTAAGGTTGATCACAGCAAAAGGATAAAAAGCGAAATCAGCAAAGGGAGAGGTGCACAGGAGAAGTATAGAGGAAAGCACAGGCAACTCTGCAAGAGTGTTCTCCCAGTGGGCACACAGGAGGCCCTTGCTGCCCCGGCAGCCAGTCAGCCAGTGTGACCCTGTGTGTGAGGTGTTGTCTCCCGGGAAATCTCGTTAGAGACTCAGTGCCCAGGGATTCTAATGAGGGCTGCTCATGTAGTGGCCGCTGTCTGGTGCTTCTCAAAACTCCATGCTCACGAGGCAAAGAGGGTTTGGGGCATAAACCACAGTTTGTACAAAGTTTAAGCTCTGCAAACCACCCCTATCAGTAAGGGAATGGTGGGGACCCTTCCGAAATCCAAGTTCCCACATGCCAGCCGAGGGCCAACCTCAGACCTGCTGTAACTCTTTTCTGCAAACTTACTTCCAGTTTAAGTGTAGTGGCTTTGGGGTTAATGATCTGTGGGTTCAGATCTTGGCTTCCTTTGAGATCTGGGTTAAATAGCCTCTGCAGAATGGCTCAGTCCTTTCAGGGAGAGTTCAGCCCTGCAGAATCCCTCTGCTTCCCCAGCTTTTGTCTGGACCAGTGCATGTGTGCATATGTGCGTACGTGTGTGTGTGTGTGCATACGTCTGTGCAACTGTCCACCTTGTTGTGTCTCCCCAACCACTTTTACCATTCTCTCATTTAATTGCTAATTAGGTCAGATACAGAATTTGAGGTTGAAAATCTTTCCCTTTGAGTTTTGACGATATTGCTACAATTTTATTTATTTATTTATTTTCTTATTTATTTTTTTCTTTTATTCCCTATTTCCAGAACTTGCAGTGTTGACATACAGTTTTAAAATTCTATGTTGATTTTTGTTCCCAAGTAGATGAACTGACCTTTCTGCCTAGAAGATTTTAGGATCTTCTGAAAATTTCCTGCTCCAGGTCTCCCTCTGCCCTCTCTCTTGGTTTTCTGCTGTTATTTATTTATTGAGCCCTCAGCCTCCTTGTGGTCTTGCAGGGACTGAGGCTCATCCTCTGCTACAGCCTGTTGCACTTTGCCAGAAAAGCATGGGCCTGTCTTCTTGACCAGTGCTCTCCTCTGCTGTCATTGGCGTTGTGGGTTTGCACGTCGTTAGTGTCTACGCGTGATTCCAGCAGTGCCTCAGGAGAGACTAGAGGTCACGTGTGTGCTCAGCCGAGAAGGCCAGTGGTGACAGGCCGTCCCTGGGTGTCTCCACACATTCTCCTGCTGCCTCCAAAGACTCGCTGACTGTAGTTTGCACGTGTGTTTAACGTTGCGTATTAAAATTGCAATGAACTTAAGAAAATTATTTAGTTAAATTTTTAAACAATTGAGGAGACTAATCCCTAAAAAGATACTGATGCATCTTTATTTCCTTCTAATTTTTTTCTTCATAATGATTTAAGTAATTGTATTCCTACTTTACTCCAATTTTGTGTTCCTATCTTGTTAGTAGATAAGAACAATATATTTTAGTTGCTATGTACTATTTGATTTAGCAGGGGCTATTTATTTGACTGTCTTCGGTGAGTTAGGCTGTTTCCAGTTCCTTGGAACTATGTGCAGAACATCTGTAAACAAAATACATAGGGTGCCTTCTGTTCTTAGTATTTGGGGCCAGTGTAGGTTTCTTGAAGCTTAGTCAAAAATTTAAAAGCTTCTGATACATATTTCTGGGTTGCTTTCCAAAAGTCATGCACTGCTCAACTCTGATATTTCATTTGAGGTGTTCTTTCCTAATGTACTAGGAAGACTTTTCTTATTATGCAAATTTTTATTTCTTTGATGACTAGGAGAGTTTGCTGAGCACCTCCTCTGTGGCAGGCCCTTCCCTGGGTGCTGGGAGGCTGCAGTGGCTAGGATAGACCAGTGGGCTTCTGTGCAGCTCACAGTGCGTGGCTGGGACAGGCAGCCATCGCTCTGTGCCGGGCCACAGCTCGGGGCGTGATGATTGCTGTGAAGCAAAGGGAGTCTGGGTGGGCAGGCGAGAGATGTGGAACAGGGTCAGGGATGGCCTCGTGAATGAGGCAGCATTAAACCAGGGATCTGGGGGAGCCACGAGTAGAAAATGAACATATGTGGAGCAAAATGCCCAATGTGTCTTAGTATATTTATGAAGATAGTTTTGACTTAGCGAATCCCCTGACAGGGTCTGGAGCACCCTCAGGATCTGTGGACCACACTTAGAACATCACCGGACTACACATTGATTTCATTAGCATTTTATCATATAAATGGGAAAATTTTAGAAAATGTATGAGGGAATACATTTGTATTACAATTTGTGCATCAAGGATATATCGTTGTGTTTTTTTTTTTCTCCTCAAAGGGTCCATCTTGCTGGGACGATGTCTTGATTCCAAACCGGATGAGTGGCGAGTGCCAGTCTCCAAACTGCCCTGGGACGAGAGCAGTAAGTCAAATTGACTCTTTTTAAAACAAGAAAAGGACGGCATGTCAGTGTTTACTAGGAAATTAGAATGGAGACAAAAATGCCAACTGACTTTTCTTCCATCCACTAATATTCACCAAAGGTGTTGACACATTGGTAGCATTCACCAAAATCCACCTGTGCCCCACCTTCCAGCCTCTCTTTCCTAGGGACTTCTCCTCTTTTGGCGACTGTGTTGCAATGTGCCAATTTAAACTCCTTACAAGTGGTATTTGTGGACTATAAAGAAGAGGCTGAGAAAAGGAGGGCCAGTTCAGAGCCTAGTCAAAGAAAAATTACAAAAGTTAATCTTTTTCTTGATGTGGTGATATTTTATATTTATCTTCCACATTATTCAAAAATTGCTTTTTTTGCTTTATTTCTTCCTAGCTTTCTTCAGCAGCTTTCTGACATAGTGGAGTCTTACAAAATGTAGTGTGAGTGATGAGCTTTATAACTGAATTACTACCCTCTTCTTTGCAATCCTTTTTCTCTTTGCAAGCATATGCCATATATTTCACGTAGAATAGATATTTCTTGAATGAGATACTGAACTCTGAATTTATTTTATTTATTTTTTTATTTCAGCATACTATGGGGGTATAGATGTTTAGGTTACGTATGTTGCCCTTGCCCCCTGAATTTATTTTTAAAATAATTTTACTATTATGGTCATGTTTATCATTAGTATATTGTTATACTTTTTACCTCAAAAATCCCTGGGTCCATCATAATCTGACTGTATGTATTTCCTGAGCTGTAAATACTGTTACAGTGCCAACAGAAATGTCAATGTTAGTCCCCAAACTGTCAGAGCCAGCTGGCAGGTAACATCTTCTCTAAGGAACAAAGTCTGTCAACAGCAATAGGTACAGTGTTTGAGCCGGAATCATTAGATGCACCTTCTCTTGCCAATCTGCTGAGTGAGTGCAGGGATAGCAAGATAGCAGTGAGCGGCAGTAAAACAATGATTCTCCACCAAGCTAGGGATAGGGACTAGGAACAGATTTTTATTAATGCAAATCCTGAAGAAAGAAATCCTCAAGAAAAATAACGACTTGTATGTCACTCATAGATATCAAGGCATAATACAATCTTGCAAGTTTCCTACTGGGATGAAATTAAAGTGTATATATTTTATAGGACAGAATTCTTAAGTATAGTTACAAATATATACACGTGTATAAATACAATGTGTATGTTATAGCATACATAATATGTAGATATAATTACATATAATAATACAATTATATATATATATATACAGATATATATCTTCATACCTGTATAAAACCATCCATACAAGCATATATATATATACAGCCATCCACCCATCTATTCATCCATCCTCTGGTATATGTGACACTGTGGTCTCCATATCATCTTCACAGTAATGTGAGGTCCTTTGAAAATAGACTTCTGTCATTGACATAGTAATTGCCAGGATTTAGTCACAGCAGGAGAGACAATTCTGGAAGGATCTTGCTTCAAATCAGCCAAAGGGGTGGTGTGGAAAATCATGCCCTTCGCTTGTTGACTATTTAACTTACCTTAGATATCAATACATAGAAGTCAATATAAATTAAGTTATATTACAGCTCTATTTCTGACAGCATGGTAAACTGATACCCCTAAAAACCCTTGCAGTGCACACCATGTAAAAATACTGGATTAAATCACACCCCTAAAAACCCTTGCAGTGCACACCATGTAAAAATACTGGATTAAATCACAAACTATGTTTTTTTGTTTTTTTTGTTTTTTGTTTTTTTTTAAGATATGGTGTCTCACTGTGTTGTCCCCAGGCTGGGGAGCAGTGGCTATTCACAGGTGCAATCGTAGTGCACAAAAGCCCTGAACTGGCCTCAAGCAATCCTCCTGCCTCAGCCTCCCAAGTAGCTGGGACTACACAGATGATCCATGTGACAAAACATGTATTTTTGAAAGAATGGTTATGCTGAAAACATGGAAAAGTTTATATGCCAAAAATTAAGAGAAAGCTGGACTGTGGAGAGGAAATTGTGTAAGCTGTGGCCAGCTGCCACCTTGAGACAACTACTGACCACTGGGGGCTAGAACTGCAGATTGGGCAGACATACAAAGGAGACTTCACTGGAGTTGGGGACCTCTTCGAGGTGAAAAGTGCAATTACAGAATCTAAGATAAAGCAGGAACTTATAAAATATGGCACCCTGATTGTATCAACTGGAGAGGAAGATGATGGGAATCCTTGCCTGTTTTGTACTTACTCTGGCTAGAAGACAAAATGTTACCCCTAAGAATTTGTAAGCCCAAACCCATTTTTACCTGATTTGGGGGACTGTATTCACTCTCCCTGGGTGGCACATAAAGTCCTGAGCCCCGAATGTTGTTTAACATAGTCACGAGTTGGTAGTTCTAGCTACTGGGCCGAAACTAGCCCACATCCTCCCAGGAGACCTGTACTTTGAAATGAGTGTACTTTCAAACATTATCCTTAGATAATGTTTCATGGAGCATGACCTGACAATCAGAAAAATCACAAAGTATATGTAGAAACAAGCTATCACGAATGAGAGTGAGCAGAATTCAAACCTGGAAAGAATACAGAAATTGAAATCATCAGGAAGAGAATATAAGTATGCTTAATGTGTTTAAAAAATAAAAGTGTGTATGACAAATATTAGAAAACAAAAAACTATGAGAAATATCCAGATTAAACACAACACATACACACACACACACACACACAATTCTAGAATTAAAAATTACAAATGACACAAAATTTATTACATGGACTAAGCAGCAGATAAGACATAGGTGAAAAGAGAAATTAGAACTTAGACCTGAAGTCTAACCTGAAAAAATTACCCCAAATTCAGCCAGAAATAAAATTCACCCAGCAATAAAAAGGAATGACCTATTGATATACTCTACAGCATGGATGGATCCCAAAATAATTATGCTTCCTAAAAGAGGCCAAAGAAACAAGCGAATGAAAAAGTAGACACTTCATGACTCCAGTCATGTGAAATTCTAGAAACTGCAAACAGTCTACAGTGACATAAAATAGATCATAGCTGCCTAGGTATTGAGGGGAGGCAAGTAGGAGCATGAGGAAGATATTAAAAAGGGTCCAAGGAATCTTTTGGGGTAATAAATTGTTCATTATCTTGATTGTGGTGTTGGCTTCACAGTTGTGTATGTATCTCAAAACTCTTCAAATACATATGAGTTGATTTGATGTCAATGACATCCCAATAAAGATATTTTAAAAAATCATTGGCAACACTTAAAGAATTAGGAGATTTCAGGTAAAAATTCAAATGTCAAGCTCCTCCTGGAAGGCCGTAAGCTCGGCAGCGCTGTGTTGACCTCCCAAGCTCCCTCTTAGCTCATGGCCAGTGTCTTTACCCACGTGCACGACCCAGCTGGCCGCTGGACACACTTGGCCAGGTCCCGGGACAGAGCTTCCCTTCAAACTGTTGGGCAAATTGAGACTCCCCTGAGAGGGAGACAGCCACCGCCTGATCCTCCCAGACCACTCCAGGGTCACAGACAACTCTCTGTAAACCCAGGTGAGGTCTGGGGTCAGAATTAACTCTGAATTCCAGACAACTTTCATCAGGGTAGCAATGTAAATGAGCCCAGACAGGACAGAGGGCCCCTCCCTGCTTTCCCAGTGCCCCAAAGCATGCACCTCTGGCATCGAGACCCATTTCTCCTTCCGGTATAGCCCAACAGAACCCCCGGATGAAATATGATTTACTTACCATAAGGCCTGTATTTTCACAGAGTCCAGAGCTGAATTAAGTAGTTGGCTCCAGGATAAGGTGACTCATGGGCTGACCGAAGCCATTGTATCTGTCACAGACAAAAATCTGTGCAGCAAGGAAACCCTGCCCAGATGCTTCCAGCAGATGCCCCACAGGTTCCCTTCGCCAGAGTGGGTCACTTCCATGCTTGAGTTGCAGACAGAGGGATGGGGGCTGCCCCAGTGACACAGGACAATCTGGTTACCTTCTGGGGAGTGTGAGGGAGACAAGCAGCTGCCTTCCTTGGGGGAGTGGGGGCGCACTGCGCGTCCTCAGGCCCCTCCAGGATGGAGAGGAGGGATGGCTTCTGCCACAGACCTCACTCAGGCTGCAGGGAAGGTCAAAAAGTGCAGTGTTGTCCCTGAAAGCTTCATACATCTGTGGCTCTTGGGGGATCCGCCCACAGCGTGGTGCTCTGGTGCGTGGAGTCGCATTAGGACGGAACGGCTTTCTTCCAAGGGTTACTCCCCTGTTCGCCTCTCAGGCAGGAACACATTTTCCCTGAACAAGGATGCAGAGACAGCTGAAGGAGCTGCCACTGCACTGCAGGCATAAGACTTTCTCTGGTGTCAACTCTCAAGTGTGCATGTCCTGCCGAATGTCTCCCACACTGGCCAAGCTCCCGATCCCCTAGCAGCCTGTGAGCTTCCTGGTGACAAAGGTAGCAGGAGCCACAGCAGAGGGCTTCCTGCATTCACTGCACTCACACGGCTTCTCTCCAGTGTGAACACCGGCAGGTGGATAAGGCTTGGGAGGTTCTTCTTTGGTGTGAATTCTCCGGTGCAGAGTGAGCAGGAGTCCTCCCCACACTGGCTTCACCCGTAAGGCCTTTCTGCAGCGTGGACTTTCCAACTCCGAAAGAGATGGGAGCTTTGGCTCCAGGCTGCCTCGTCTTCACTGCATTCAAAAGACCTCTCTTTGCTTAGAACTTTCTGCTGCCAAATGAGGAGGGGATTTTGAGGGAGACTTCCTTGTCGTTGCTGCACTTGTAAGGCGTGGTTAGTTCCTCACACTCCTGAGACATAAGGACTTTTCTCCCTTGTGAATTTTCAGGCAGTGAAAAAGGATGGCTTCTCCTTGAAGGCCTTTCTGAACACCATGAATTTATAGGTCCAAAGATGTGCTCTCTTGCCATGGCTGGGTTCAGATCCTTGCTGCCCAGCATCCAGGGCCCTCATAATGCTCTAG